CCCCCCTCCCCCCTCCCAAAACAATGAACAACATTGGATCACTCAATCAATTACCTTAATTTAGCAGTCAACATTTTCATCATTCTAACAACTTTTCCCAACAGCTTTCCAAATTCTTAACAGGTAGGAAGTATGGCTATAAAATGTAGAAACTAGAAAACATTTCCTCAAAATCCGACTATTGTTAGCCATACCTTGTCTGAGTCAGGTATGCAGTATGAACAACTGGAACCAAGAAACAGACAAGCTAGCAAGCATTCAAAAATTATTGACAATTAAAAAAAGAAAGTTCTAGTGGCTCCTTTCTTTCTTGACAGAAGCAACGTTTCATCCAGAATCTAAACAAATATGTGACCGGTTACTTATGTTTTTGATATAAAAAAATTAGAGCAAATACTAACCACAGATATTTCAAAAGCCTGTACAGTAGAAACTTCTTGGCAATTAACATTGTAATGTTTGAATATGTGCTCAACAATCCTCTCCGCCACAGCCTTGACATTTTTCTGCATAAGAAATTAAATGATCATGCAAAGCAATCTTTCTGTTACATAAATAGTCATCATCCTAATATAATATTATTATAATTCAATCATAAAAAATTGGGCAATTATTACATAGAAAATGTGATCAATAAAATACAAATACTAACAGTAAAAGTTTCCGAGCAATTAATGCTTTAGAGGATTATATAATACAAATTATTCTACTTTCGAATTCTTTTCTTTTAATAAAATTCCTTCTTTTATTGACAAAGCTCCACAAATGGAACAGATAAGCATGCCTGCCCCATCAGTGTGAAAACTTTTCAAGACAAATCCAATTGTAGTTACTAGCAAAAGACGTCAAGTTATATGGTATTAGTACAGAGTGTTGTTGGGCTGATCATAAACATGCTGTGCTACACTAGTAATTGAGTAACCAGACCTAGATTATTGATGTAAAAGATTTATGAGGTATAACATTTTATTATTGAATTATTTTAGATAATTACTAATATCATATCTTCTTTCTCTCCCACAATCTTTTTAAATATAGTATCAGAACAATACCATCTGGCATGACCTATACCCTATCTCCACTGTATAGATGCCAAAACCTGGGACCCTCTAGTTTTTTGTCCATTTTTTACCGTATCTTTTGTGTCCTGGTTCGCAAACAGATAATTCTCCTCCCAGTGCCTGTATTATCCTCTCTTATCACTATACTTGTTTTAAGATAAACCACATTGGTTAGGAAAAATGGCAAGGTTTTGGGAAGTTGTGCCCAAATCATTTCTAATTCTTTTAAAAGGAGATAAAGCCAAGACTGGTTTGGGGTGATTCAATGTAATACCATTATTGAAAGTTTGAACCAGGAGTCACCAGGAAGTGTACTTGCACTGACTTGGGCAACCAGACCTCCACAAGAAGGTGCCTTTATGAAAGTTCTAACAAAAAAACATGCATGTTTAAGCAAAGGTTAATGAAGTATGTATTGAGACCCTACCGAAAAATGTAGAATGTCACAAAGTCCTGATATATTAGGCTTTGGCAAGCAATTGATGCTATTTGGTATGTCAAGCAGTTTCTTTTTCTCTGTAAATTGCATGCTTGTTGCAGTTGCTTGTGCTGTCTCATTGGTCAAAGGATGCACTGTGGAATCAAGTGCATTAGACAAGCCTTTTGAATTACCTGTGGGCATGAAAATGAATTAGCAGTAGCATGAACCTTTGAGAATAGTTCCCACCACACCTCCACACTCCAAAAAAATATACTTCTGTCATGAATAAAACTAATGTTTGCAAGTAAAAGGTTGATTGAAGAAATAAATAAAAGACTATAAAAGCAGCAGGAAAAAAAATCAGCAGTACCATTTGATTTACTTGCTCTAATGACAACACTGGGATTCTTCTTGCTCTTTAACCTTGTTTTCTGACATTTGGCATCAGCAATATTCTTGGACACTTTCCTGCCCTTTGAATCAACAATATCAGCAGACACCTCCCAGGTCTTAGGATCAATGGCATGATTTAACACTTTCCTCCCATTTGTTTCAACAAAATCCTTGGACACTTTCCTCCTCATGGGGTCAACTTTATCCTTGGTCAATCTCCTCCACATAGGATCAACATTATCCTTGGACACTTTTCTCCTCTTGGGATCAACATTATCCTTTGATGTTGTCCTCTTTCCTATAAAGGTATCATTTTCAAATTCAGATTCTGTTAGTATGTGATCAAACTGTCTTACTGTTTTCCTGATCCTCTGAGATGAAACAGACAAAAATTTCCATGGAGGATGCCTTCCTTCAAGATCACTCCAGGAAAAAGCAGATGGCTTACTGCCCAATTTCTTCATTATTCTTTCTCCTAGCAATAAACTGTTCCTCGCATATTCCCCTTCATTCTGCTGTATTATTGTTATGAATGACAATCCATGACAATCAGTATCATCAGCACCACAAACCAATTGGGATGATAATTCACAAAATACATCACTTAGAAGTGACAGATCAGCAATGTCTGGAGTAGAAACTGACGTGACACTGGCATGTAACTCATCAAGCTTATTGAACAGATAGGAGTTACCCCAATTTAGCAGGGTGTGACAAGTATTCAGGCTCATCAACCGTACATTGCTGTCAAGAGCTATACCCTCTTTTGCAAGCATTAAAACCTTTTCTTCAACAGTGAAATATGAGTACAATCTGAAAACTGAAAACTGTTTGAACTGTGAGCTAATAGACATCCTTTGTAAGCCTCTTAGATCATTTTGTGGGTCCAAATCACTGTCAAACAATATAACTGTATCCACGGAAGAAAGCTTAACGCTAGAGAGACAAGCACGATTTTCCATCAAGAAGACAAATTTTCCAATTTCTTTGTCATTAAATGTGTCTAAAGCAGCTTGCTTTGTTTTGGGGGCATAACTTCTATCATATCGTACATAGCAATCTTTACCAAATCTCTGACAGAGAACATCATCCAAAATATCTCCAATTGATCCAGAACCACAAGTTGACTGCAGTTATTTAAAATGAAAGAGAACTAACTGAATCCTCGAGAATCTTAAAAATACATCAGGTTACAATCATGACATTAAACAACAAAAATATGATACATAGATTTTATGAGAACAGAAATTATCATATTTCTAACCACTTGACAGGCAGTATAAATAATAACTAAAAAATGCCACAGAAATCATATATTGATAAGGTATTTTAATATATAGGAAGAGAGGCTATTTCATATTCAATAAAAAGTCAGCAAGGAAACAAGGCCAACAAAGTACTTGGATTGCCAAAGTATGAGACACCACTTCAATACCCACAAGTATCTGACAATCTACTTTAAAGGGATTTTTTGAAATTACAGTAACACAAGATAAAAGTTTGATGACAGTTTTTATATGCCAGCCCAGGCATTCCTATTTTATTGGGAAACTTCAAAAGAATGCTAGGAAGGTCAGATTCTATCAAAATTCCTGGCATCCTTCTAAGTTGGGTTGTTCCAACCTGCATCAAATGGTAGACAGTAGACTCCAATCACAGCAAGTGGCATACATTTTTCTGCTTTAATTTTATTTTATTCTTTTTTCTAGAAGATTTAGTTAGTTAAGATCAAAATCAGTATTCAAATATGATTAGCTCTTATTCTCCTTTATTTTCTCCCTATCTTCATATCTCCTAGCCATCTCTGCTGTATAAACTCTCATGTAATTTTGATCAATGTACACCAAATATACATAAGTTTCTTCTCCTAAAATTACAATATCAAAATTCATAAATTTAGTCGCATAATTCAAGAGCTCTTTAGTGAATGAAATTGAATTCATGCCCTAAGGCAATAACGGAACATAAGGAAAATGAAAAAGAAAATCATTACTAGGGCAATTCTCAATTAAATTAAATGTAAATTTTATGGGATATTTATCATGCAAGATAATTCCTATTTCAATCAACCTTCCCCTTTTCCCAACAAGGATTAGATGCAGTGGTAAGCAAATCAAACCCCCGAGGAGAGGACTAAAGTTCATACCCTAGAGAAGGCAATTGTTGGAAGAGCATCGTAGTTGCAACAATACCCAAGGTATTAATCTCACAGCAATTCAAAGAGGAACTGGACATATCCTGGTCAAAGACCAAATAAACTGTGTTTTTTATCATTAGGTGCTATGTAAAATTGACCTTATTCCCAACTTTTGGTTGAAAGACAGGTTTCCAGCTATATTGCTCATCCAGCTTCAAGCCACAACAACAATAAATATTCGTTAAAAAAATGTAGATTAGGTAATGAATAAGTTGACTTTTATAGAACAAGTATATGGCAATAATAACCTGACAAGTTAACTAAATTAAAACAACAAAAAAATGTAATTTTTAAACAATGTAATAGCAAGCAATATCTATATTATCAAATCATCCCAAAATTTGGCACACTAAATAAAATATTATTAGGTAAGTAGAGTATTACATTAATGAGGAAACATGCCACAATAGCACAATCAAGCAATCAGCATTAAAGCTCTCTCGATATAACAAGAAGTGAATAAACTCACAAAAATACAAGAAACTAGACAAATAATAAAAAAAATCAAGGGATTTCAATGGATGACTACCTGAAATAATATTAACACCCTTAACTGACGACTTCTTGCCTCCAAAAGGATTTTTTCCAGAAGTTGCAGTTTTCCACTTGCTTTTATATCAATATTTAAATGCTTTTCAACAGGTAGACCTTTAGTAACAAAACTATGCAGTGTTGGATCCAGGAGATAAGGATGGTCACAGCACTGTAAAAATAAACCAAATGCAACTATCATCATGCTGTCTTATTGATGATGCATTTAGTGCTATAGCTTTTATAAAAATTGAAGTATTATCGTGAAAGGAATGCTGAACTAAAAGTTGACAATCAAAAATGTGTGATATATGAGATTTTAGCTAATTTGAAATTATGTTTCTTATCATGTCTACCTTCCTTGTTGAGATAATAAGGTTATGGAGGGCATCAACGGAGTCAGACTTTTGGCCTGAGCATAACAACATTAAGTTTGAAAGTAGCATTGAACAATACTGCTCAAGCTGCAAACTGGAAAGGCAGGCAGGAACCCAATACTCTACAAACTTAGTGGAGTCTGACTTGCACTTAAATACAACATATTTTTCCAGTTGGCTCTTCAAAGTGGAAATGCTACCAGAAATATAAGCTTCCATTTGAGCAATATTTGACCCATGGAGGAACGAAAGTAGTTTGATATAATCAGCTCGATCTTCCTGAAATTCCATCAGATAAAAAGTCAACAGAATGGAAAATACCAATATTGAACACAGGTAGTTTACCTTGATTTGCCCACTAACAAGAAGGAGCCTCATTTCAGCTTTTAGAATATTGATATTGCCCAAGTGTCCTAAAATTCTGGATCGCTGGCATTCATCAATTATTATTGCTTCCCATGGAATGCATCTTAATGCATGTAAGTCCTGTATATCATTTTAAAATATGATAAGCACAAACAGAAAATTAATAATTTTACTTTGAAACTTATTGTAGAATATGTAAAAGCTTAAATTGTTTCTGAAGTCTCTTATCATATGAAGCTGTTAGATATGAAAGTATACCTCAACAATAACATCAGAAGATGATAATAATATTTGAAATAAGATGTCATCATATTCATTCAAAAACTCTAATGCCCTGATGCCACTCCGTACACCTCTGTTTCCCTTGTAAACAACCATATTGGTAGATGGTGCCAAATTTAAGAACTCTGTTTCCCATACAGAGAGGGCAGTAGAAGTTGAGATGATGAGAAAAGGCCTCTTCACATTACAATTCAAAGATAATATAAACAAAATCACCTTCATAACCCGCTCCTGCAAATGTAGTTTAACAATAAATCAGGGACTTTGATAACCATAAGAAATGAGGGGGTGCGATAGTACTAAAGTGAGGAGGTGTATTAGGAAAAATCCATGTCTCACCTATGTTAAGTCATTTAAAGAGTCATTCACTATTTATCCATGCACCAAGTTCAATAGTGTTGAGCATGAGAAAATATATTGAAAAAAACTCAAGTCTCACATTGAAAAGAGATAAGGCTAAAACAAAGTATGTAAGTAGGAAGCAATCTTCTTCACCCTATAAGCTAATTTTATAGGATTGAGATAGATTCAAATTCACTTTTTAAGATTAAAATAGGAACAAAGTGAAAACAAGGCAGCATTTTTGCAATTATTTGTGAAAGAAAAATCTCAAATTAAACAGACCCTAAAGATTGACTCACGCAGCTTTTTTTTATTCATGTTATTTAAAATGAAGTACTTCATACACCCTAAGTTTTATTTAATAACAGAATATCTAAAGATAGGATAAATTACATATTTTATATAGAAAACAAGGATGAACAGCTAAGAAATGAAGTAATTATATAACAACAAAACTAGAGTATATGGAGAGGAAAATGACCTGGTCAATTTGATCATCTGCAATAACAGCACTCTGACCTTCATGCCAACACATGCGAAGCTTGTTCACATAACTCAAATGCTGGTTATAAAATCCTGGTGATTCTCCATATGGCAACTCTGATAATTCAGCAAAGGAAGCTTTTCTCTCCTGCAGTGCCAAACAAAATGCTCATTAGATAAAAATATTTTTAGTATAATCTCCTGCAGTGCCAAGCAAAGGCTGGGAAGACCCATTTTCATCCCAACAGTCAAGATCATGCTTTTGTGTATAATTTCCTTCATTAGTTTAATTCTACTAATAAATGACTCAAATCTCCAATGACAGGTTTTTCCAAATTGACTTGTTATCAATGAGTATTTATTTATCTGGAGAGCAGGAGAAAAAATCTGTCACCAGGAATCAACAATCTCAAACAAGTGAAAAAAAATTCTTTACAATATAAATCATATTGCCATCCCTACCATTTGACTATGGACATAGTTGTCATGCAAAAGAACCCTCATGTTTCATTCATTCACATGATAACCAATCAATTTTTTTAATATAGTCCAGTAACCTCAGTTGAACAAAGCAACAGAAATTTCCATACATATCATAAAACATTACTTCAAACTAATGATGCTTTCACACTTGACGGGTCACAATCATGCGATCCCATTTAATTTTACCTACAACTGCATTAATGTAGAGTTAAAAAAAAATCCAGTTGAATGCATACAGGATATCAGTTCAGGTTAAAATCAAGTTGTTACGTCAGGAAGTAAAAGACATAATGATTTCCTACACCAATAATTTTTTCTGTCTTTTAGAGGCTTATAAAAATCAGTTAATTCATTAGTTGCGTCATAGATAGCATCCCATAATGGTCTGAGTACACCTCGTTAGCTTGTAATAAACCAAAAAAAGTATAAAAAAAAAATGGCATTGTAATAAACAATAAAAGTTATATATATATATATATATATATCGTTAAACTAAAAGAAGTACCTTGTTAGCTTCAAAATGATTTTTTGGCAGTCTATCTGCTCTCTGGCGACAACTTTCATAATCATATATGAGTTTCATGCCTTCAGGTGATGTCAAGAATGAAGCATCATCTAGCTCCCATGTAACATTATCATAACCAAGACCAGTCCATTTGACAAGCCACTCATATCGGCAAATTGAACCATTGTCACCATGCCCATCAAAATGTTGATCATTTTGTTTTGATAATACAATTTCCCTTTTTAGCAGCAAGCGGTGAGGTATTTTCCAATCTTTTTTCCACCTAACCTGGAAATTTGGAATCTAAAAAAGAAAAAAAATTCATGGATAGTTCCAAAAAAATCAGACTAACAAACCAAAAAACTATTGCTTGTCCCAAGACTATGAAGGGTAACTGAACCTGCAGTTTCCTCTTAAATTTGGCCAAGAGCTTAGGAGCCTCAAGAAGCAATTCTGATTCTAGAATCCAGAGGTTGTGAGCATGAGCGAGGCCATGATACTTGACAAGGTACTTCCTTTGCATCACTAGCAACATGCTACTTATTATCAAAAATAACCTTACATATTATCTTATATAGATTCCATGAACAAGAAATGTAGGTGAAACATAACAGGAGTAAACTCACATTTTAGTCCTTGAAATTATAAGCGAGTTACTTTAGTCCCGTACTTTGTAAAGCATTGTACATTTAGTCCTTTTTATTGCAAATTAAAAGTGGAAAGGGGTTAAAGAAATGACTTTTTGTAAAGCCAGGGGCTAGAGAGAGGATTCTTTGAAGTTAATGACTAAATTGACCAACACTTACAATCTCACAGACTATAATGGGAAGTCTACTTGTTAGCAAATTTCAGGCAGGGTTTATTAGACCATACCATTATTGTTTGAGCCCTCTTCTGTAAAATCCAAGATGGTTGACACTCCTTCAGAAACAGAATGCACACCAAGCTCAATCTTTTTCTTAATGCACCGGATACAATGCCAAAACCCCAAAGGAATGTAATTGAAAGGAAGATTCACACAAGAGGGATGGTACCTCCTTTGACATCCTTTTCCACAGCAACATCTAAAATATAGTTTCACATTAATAATCAAAAGAAAATAAAAACAACAAAAATATGCATTAATTCCCAATTGCCCAAGTCAATTTTAAACAAAATACAGGTACAGATAAAACATTTTCCATTACTTACTGTATAGAAAAGTGTAAGTAGAAAAGGATTTTTTTAAGGAAATGTTTGCTATGGTGCTGATATCTTTTAGAGTTAAATAAGTTTTTAGTCTATGTAATTGGTCAACATTAGTCTTCATCCCTATATTTTTTAAAACCTTTGGGTGCAGTCCTCCAATTTCTGAAATACACAAAAATTAATCCCCCATACTAATTCTATAAGTGTGATTACTTAAGTGTTGTTGGAGATTCCACATCATCTAGTGATAAGGCCAGAGTAATGTATATAAGTGGGAGGAAAACCCACCTTGCAAGCTGTTTTGTAGAATTAAGTTAAACCCAAACTCACATTCAAAAATGATATCAGAATCAATCCTAGGGATTGACATTGAACCTATTGTGTCACCTGCTACTAGGCCAATATCAAACCATCTACAAATGCACAAACTTCACACTTGAGATGTTCAATCCTCAATATGAAGGGGATGTTAGAGATCACATATCAACTAGATATAAGACCAAAGTAACGTATATAAGTAGGGACAACTCTCTCACCTCACAAAACGATTTTGTAGGGTTGAGTTAAACTCAAACCCACAACCTAGGAGGTGTCTAATACATAGCCACTTGGCATTCACATGTCAACCATGTGGCATCTACATGACTTGGCAAGGGTTGCATATTTTTTTATAAATGTTTTTAATCATTAGAAAATTTTCAGTTTTTGATTCTATTTTCCATGAAATTCAAATTTTGATCTAGTCCTTATTAAATGTCTAACTTGTTTTAGGCATTTTTAAATGTCTTATACTTTCCTTATCTATATCCACATTTGTCTCACCAACATCATAACACAATATTGTTCAAGCTGAAAATAGAACCACATAGCCTACTCTAACAATAAACACGTGACCCAAATCCTAATTGGGCATTAAAACCTCCATGTACCCTCAGTAACTAACGGAGCTCCATCACTTAGAGTTCTAATTAGACAATCTCAACAAACTTAACTATTAACAGGGGCAATGTCATAGATTTATTTAGTGTTAATATAAATGATTGTGAATAGTGAGGAGTTTTGAAGGCCGAGTGTAAAAGGGTGTAAGCATAAACCACTTTAATAACAAAGAAATTTGAGGTTTTATCCCTAATATTATTACAGTTTTGCAGAAGTTGATGAATTAGAGCTCCAAGTATTGGAACTTTGTTACCTATTGAAGGGTGTCAAATAACATGCCTTGGAGGCTTTGACACCCCATATCCCTTATAGTGGTTTCAACTTTCAATGATACTATGCCAGGAGAGGTGAAGGTGGAAGGGAATGGAGAAGAGATTAGAGATTTCAGACATGACTAAAACAAGATAAGATAAAAATAAAAAAATTAATGGTTAAATTGAAATTTGACTTTTATGGGGACTAAAATCAAATTTGAAAATTTCTAGGGAAAAATTACATTTTTAAAATAACACATGCAGCACTTGCCACATGGCTATTTGTTAGACACTAAAGCAACCAAACTATTAACAAAGTTAGTATTGGGGAATATTTTCTATGTATTTCAGAAATTAGAAGACTGAGCCCAAAGACCAAAGTTGACCGACCATACAGGAACTAAAAATATATTTAACCTTGTACTTCTTTACAGCTATCAAAGGAGAAAATAGTAATTGAGAGACAGAGCAAGATTCATCTGGTTATGTGAGACAATAAGGTACCTCCACCCCAAACATAAATAGAAAAAGAAAAAAGAAAATCAAAGGCTCAAATTTGTCTCAGCTTTGTCCAATCTCTTGGCATAATAATAACATAGCTCCACTTAAATCACAATGAGCAAAAAATGTAAGGAGAGCCACCCTTGCAAGTTGCAACTATGAGCATTCTCTCCAATCAAATTCACTTAAAAGTTAAAACCAAAAAAGCTACATCCAAGGACACAAGTTTAAAACATCCTACTCTTTACAAAACTTTCAAAGTGTATTATGATTCATAAGAAACTACTCCTATGTAAAAGAACATAACCAATGACCAAAAAGTCAAAAACTTGAAATAAATCTTTACAAAAGCTTTCAGATACTATAAACTGGAAATAAGTAACAAGTCTAATACTGTCTGAAAATCTTTACCACACAAGTTGTTTATCCCTATAGAGAAGTGGGGTTGATATAGGAAAAAGAATCAATGCAGAGTTGCATTTTTGGTCAAACAGGATTTGTTTATTTTTCCTTCACTTAAATTGTTCAATGATTAATTTCTTAAATAGCAGCCTTCCTCTTCCTACTATCAAATGATATTTATATCTAACTATAGTAGATGAACATCACAAGTAGCTTTTAGCAAGTGCTTCATGTTGACCAAAAGTGTCTAATATACTTGTCAAAAAACCAAAACATAACTGAAATATCAAAATGCAAAGATTCAATATTGTCACCAAGAGTATATAAGATAGCATTGCATATTACACCGAATATACTAAAAATATTCTATACATTACCATTAATGAGGCACATTGCAAAATTAGAAATATCCACATGCAGTTCAGTGCATCTTGAAGCACATTGACATCACGTAAAGAAAGGGATCAGAGAATGCAAAATGACTTTATCTAATAAATAATAAACAAAATTAGATACATATAATTAAGACCCCTACACAAAAACAAGTGGGAGGAAACTATTTAGTACATGACTTTGATAAAATTTGTGCACTCCCGAGCTTTCCTGAAGTCTCAGAGGTTGACCCCGATTTGGGCCATTATAACCATGATTATTTGCAAGAAATAAAGTACAGCAGAAGTTACAGAAGGAAAAAGCAGTAAATGATTTTCAACGTAGCATAGCATTTATAAGGCAGAGGAGAGAACCATAAAAATATAAGGTGAAAAGGGCCAATTATACGGACAGAGGTGAAAATCCAGAAACTCACAAAATTGCTCCACCACGCACGCAATTGGAACACACAACTTCCTTGCTGCCTTTTTTATCTTTCATATGAAGATTTGCTAGTGTCTTATGTTTATGTGCTTTAGCCAATCCCTTGTTGCACCTAGAACGGACATCCCCTCCATCCTAGCAAGATGTATGAGTGCAAATCAACACAACCACTTAGAATAAATGTCAACATAGACTGCTACTCTTGATCCCAAATCAGATTGACAACTAAACTCATTGTATATCATCCCAATGGTACTTTGTATATTTAGATGTGATTAAAATAAACAGTGGCAAATTAAGATACTGTGCAGCATGAGAAGAAAGTATTCTATATATTGCAACTGGAATCACAAAACCTACTTTGTTCATAGCAAGAGTCTCGGCATTCATGTCACAAACAACCGTCTGATTCACTAAAGAAGTAACTGTCATTATATTATATATGCTTGATCACGAACTACCTGAAACATAAAAACGGAGGAATCGGAAAAGCTTAATGTAGATTGTAGAGGGTATAACCTTCCAAAAAATAATTTCGACACTCAAAGCATGTTCTTCTAACTTCATTACTTTAAAGATAAAGTACCATCCGCTTGAACAATCAACGACACGAGACCTTACAGAAAATCATTTTCTTCATTTTGGTAAGATCATGAAAACAGCTTATCAGTAAGAAAAATAAAGTTGGATAATAGTTTACCATACAAATTTTCTTACCATTCACGCTAAACAGAACAATCACAAACCAAAACCCTACTATGTCTTTAAACAATAATAACCCAAACATTACAGTGATCAAAAGCAACTTTTGGTATATACTACGAGTCCGTTCAGTTACCCCCTAGTGTTCAAATAAACCTCAATAAATAAATTACCACAGAATGTTCCACCTCGAACTGCAAAATGTGACAAAAAAAAACTATATATAAAAAGTCTTTGGTTATACTACGAGTATGTTTAGCGAGCTCATGGTGGACAGTGATTTATCAATTATCAATATCAACTTTAACCAAATGGAAAAACCCTATGTGTTTGAAGTTTAGAAAACATTAACTAAGAATGAAAATAGCATGCAGAGGAACGACAATGCAAGGCACATAAAAACCGCGAAGAAGAGTAACCATGGCCATGGCATCGCATCATTTTTCTCTCACCGTGAAATCACTAGCTTCCACTGTACGTTTCACAAAGCACGATGAAAAAGTTTCATTTTTTTTTCTTTCTTTCTTCAAGCTGGAATCTAATATAATGTCTGATTTATTTAATAATATGATATATGAGGCATTAATTTTGGTACATTATTAATTAATTACTTTAAATATTTTTTAATTGATATATTTTTACTTATTTTACTTTTTAATATACAATTTTAATAAATATTTTTAAGTTTTATATTTTTGTTTTTTAAAAAAATAGTTATAATTAAGATAATCTTTTTAATCATTATCTATACATATTATCTATACATATTATAAAGGAGATATATTTTGGTAACCACCTCTTTTGTCTCCACTTTTTAATAGACGATTATACTCCTTGAATAAAAAAAATCTTTTTATATTTTTCTTAAATAACTATTTATAATTTATAATATTTGTTTGTGTGTAACTATTAGAGATACTTCTAGTATTTATAATTAAAATTATTTTTTTAATTATTCTCTTTTTTTATTATTGTCTTTTTTTTATAAATACGATAAATATATTAATTTAACTTTATATATATAATTTAAATTTATTTTTCTAAAATTATCCTAAATTAGATTCATCAATTCACATTTTATATTCTCACATATAATGTCTTCTGTTGAAACTTTATTTTTTTTTTCTCACAAAGTCAAATACTTTTAACATGAAAACACGAAAGAGACTATAATAAAAAATAAAAATAAAAAAAGATCTAAAAAGATTTTTAAAAAATAAGTATAAAAATTAAAAAATGTGTGTTAAATTATGTAAATTAAAAATGATTAATAGAAATAAATATAAAAATTAAAAATAAATATTTTTAATTATAAAAATTAAAAGATAAAATAAATAAAATTAGACACCGAAAAATATTTATCTTTCTTAATTTAAAAAATATATTATTTATTATAATAGAATGAGAAAGATTACTATCACAAATTTTAATAGTCTTAATTATTATTAAAAATTATAAAAACATTATGATTCTTATCTCTTATTTAATAAAACAAGTCATGATTTTTATTTTAAAATAATAATATTCAATATCAATAAAAAAAAAACATACAAATGAAAAAAAAAATGTATAATGCTACTGTTAAAAGAATATTATATTAGCCGATGACTAATCTCTTCGTTACGAAGGAGACACCTCAAATGGTAGGATAGCTGTCCCAAGATTTAACGCGCTGCATATACAAGGCAGGATTCAAACCCCTGACCTTGCTTAAACGTGAATCAACCCCTACCGCTGAACAACATACTTGAGATTTTCATAAATTTCTTTTTGGCACTTATATAAAAAGGATAAATATTAAATTATTCACAGCTAATCACTTTTTTTGTCTTTGATAAGCTACTTTAATATCTTGTAAGTTGTTTAACTATCTTATGAGTTAAATTTAATCAAAATAAACTTTATACACATTTAAGTTTATTTTCATGTTAGCGTAACAAGTATTTTAATTTTTTGGTTATCAATTTTTTCCTGTTTCTATCTTTATCCTATTAATTTACCTAAAATCTCTCTTATTACTTTTTAATTAATCATTACATTTTTTTATTTTAATTAAATTTTTATTTATTAAACTAAAGTCGATAATAGTCGAAATTATAAGGGTAATATTATTTTAAAATAATATTATTAAAAGATATTTACATATTAATTTTATATATTAAATATAAACAATTATCTTAAACGATAATATTTTTAAAATTTATTATTCTAAAAAAGTATTTTAGAGATTCTCTTATATAATTTATTTGTTATTTATTATATTTATTTATAAATTAATTTTTAATATTTAACAAATAACTCATTTGCCACAATGTTATACACACGAACTCATTTGGCACTCATTATTTTATAAAGTGTATGTTATAAATCACATGGCACTTATAAGGATGTAAGAATTATCAAAAGTTTTACAAGATTAACTTCTTATTAATGTGGTGTTATATATGTCCTCACACCACACAAAAAAAGGCTAGGCTACTAGTAAATTTGTGCCTCATCTAGTAGATAAATGTTATTAAACTATTTTTATAATATTATCAATGTTTTTAAAATTAAAATGATATAGATGTTAATTCAAAGTTCAATGGTTCAATCATATATTAATAAAATAATAATAATTTTTATTATCAATACAAAAGTAATATTAAATAAATATAAGTTATAATTTTATAACACTAAATATTAAAATAAAAATTATATTTATAAATTATTATCATTTAATATACATAGTAAAATTTTAAATTATATATAATATAATTTTTAAGTTCTGATAGAATATAGTAATGTCCACTAATAATAATAAATTTATATTTAGAATAAAAAATATCAAATTAATATAATATATACTAAAAAAATAAGTTATTTTAATTTATAATTTGTATTAAATATTATATTTATTAAGATATTTTAATTAAATTTTTAAAAAGCTTAAAAAAAACTAATTAGACTAGTTAAAACTGATTTTGTTTGTTTCAGGACCGGTTTTTCTAGATTTTTACTGGTTCAATGTAGAACGATTTTTTGGTTAAATTGAACTAGTCGATAACTAATTCTCAGTCAAACCATTACGACTAATTGTTTCGGTCTGATTTTCACCACTATGATAATTATTCTACCACATCTAAGATGAACATGTTTAGAGAAACACATCCTACGACTTTAATCTCGCATCAATCTTATTGTTAAGTGATGAATCTTTAATCAATCTCAATTTTACCTATTGAACAAAGGTTGAATAGGAATTAGAAAATGATGAAAAATAACACTAATCATCATCGCAACCTTTTCACAATATTGTAATTGTAATCACAAAAAAATGCACAATCACTACTAAACATCACATATTACAAGGGGAAAAAGGTATGATTTATCACAAAAACACACCAAAAGACTAATCACCCCTTGTATAATGTCTATCACATAGTGGTTAACTAGTTATCAATAATGAACTCATATTTTAATAAAAAGGTCATATTTTCCCCACACCACAATTTATACTAAATAACATATGATTGCAATAAAACTTTAAATAATACATGTTCACTCTTAAAATAATTTCGTTTATATTGAAACTAAAACAATAACACCCTAATTTTTATTTTTTTTTTAATATCTCAACATAATAAAATATTTCATCATCATCAAATGACTAAGATATGAGAAATAACAAAAAAACCTAATTAACATACAAAAGTGTAATCGAGATTAGGATCCTACCTTTCATCCATGCTATCGTTGCTCACACAAATCAAAATAATGATTTGCTCACTAATTTCAATCCCACAAACTTTGTTGATCATAGACAAAATAACCTAAAACATGTGATAGTCAATCACCTTGTCCTTAAAAACTTATTGGTGAGGTATACAAGCTCACAAAGATTTAACCGGTTCTTCTCAGATTTTGTTGAGGTGACAAAACTAAGAAGATCATCTTTTTAAACAAATCCAAAATCCTAGAAAATTCAAGAAGGGGAGAAAAAACAATGAATTTTAAAGAAAGTAAGTTTCAAATGAAGGTATAAATAAATTATAGCATTAATTGAAAGTTATCACATATATTAATATACATTAAAGTCTTGTTTGAAAATTCAACTAATATAGACAAAAGTAATCAATGAAACTTACACCTTTTTTTTTAATATCTAACAAAAATAAAATACAATGTGTACCCTTTGATTATATAGACAACTTTTTATATATAATTTGATTGAAATGCATTTTTAACTTCTCAAATATCATAATTATAAAAATTTGGTTCCTCAAACTTCATTTGAGTGGAATGTATTCTTAACAATTATATAACCTTTAATTTTTCTGTTAGTTACTTGTTAATGATTTTTTTTTTAAAATGATGTGTGACAAATGATGTGATGTTAATAGATGATATTATTACCATGATATGGTGTTTTTGTGGTGATTAAAAAAATATTAATATATCACTCACAATGTGATTATGTAGCACTTGTAAATAAGAGAAAAAATCGTGAAAATGTTAAAAGCAAAGTTAAGCACCTTTTATTTAATTATTTAAGAAATACATTAGTTTAGTGTTCTAACCAAATGATCTAAAGTTGGGTTTGGGTTAAAAATTTTAGAAATTCAAAAAAATTAAAATTCTTAAAATTTGAATTATTTTTTAATAATAATAATAATAATAATAAAAGTACTTTGATTTCAATATTCATCTTTTATCAAATTTATTTAGACAAATCAATTTAAATTTCTAAAACTTTAAATTCTTAATATGAATAATGTAATTTAATTTCTACTATAAACAAAATTAATTCCATATATGTGTGCGTGTGATTAAATATGTTTAACCTTTGAACTTTTGCTAATTCTCACTTTTAGTTTCTATTTTTTTTATACTAATTTTAGTCCTTTAATTTTTTCATTTTTTTTCTTCCGTTAAGATTTTGGTCTCTACTATTAAAAATTTTTGTTCATGAAAGAAAATTCTTAGGACTATAATAAAATAAAATTTATTCAATGACTAAAAGTAAAAATTCAAAAAGTTTAGAAACTTAAAAAAAAGTATTTAAACTCTCTATACATATACATATATTAAAACTTTAAATTTAACGTTATAAAAGGCTATTTATAAATATTTAATAATTTAGAGAGAGAGAGAGAGAGCGAGAGAGAGAGCGAGAGAGAGAGAGAGAGGAGGGATTCGTTAGATTTACTCCGATCAATAACTTATGTTTTACATCAAATTTCAACAATTCAACAGTTGAATTTAAAGTTCTTAATACATATATCAAATCTGCAAATTTTTAAAGAGAAGGAATTTGTTAGACTTACTCTATTCAATAACTCATGTTTTACATCAAATTTCAACAACTCAACCGTTGAATTTAAAGTTCTTAATACATATATCAAATCTACAATTTTTTATAAATTTTGAAAATCATTTGATACTTCGTTTCATTAATTCAAA